TACCATCTACATTAATCAACTTGAAATGAACAGCAGGTTTGTCCTGGTTTGCAGACGAGGTATATATTTGTTTAAGGGCCGATGAAATGGGGTCCAGACACAAACACAGTTTAATCTAAGATTCTGGAGGATGTGTGAATAGGTCTGTCACCATGAAACATTTTACTGTATAAGTTGTTCCAAAGTTCTCAACAAACGATAATATAGTTCTTTTGAGACCATTTTTTAAGTTATATAATGGTAATGATGAAATAATAATGCTAGAACACATTCTCAAAGGTCATTAAACTTTAAATTCTAATGAACATTTAACACTGGGAGACATTTTTAGTATCCATAATAAATAAAACTAATGAATTTTGAAGTCTTTTGAAACAAAATTGCTTTTCGAAATAAGGTCTAATCGAGACCAAAGTACCAAACTGAAGATTTTTATTATCCAGTTTTTGGTACAAAGAGAGAAAAAAAGAGAAACAATAAATCATGCCAATGGAAATGATTGAGTTTGTTTTAATTTATCATCTGATTAATTGATTATTCTGACAGGCCTATGTGTGAACATTAGACTAAATCCTTAAGTATGTTGAAAAGTCAACATAAATGACGTACCTTTCAGGTTGTTCTGCTGAATAAAGTAGCAGCAGATGATGATCCTGCAGGTCCAGATCTACCTTCATTACTGCTGAAGCAACAAAATACGGTTTCAGTGATAGTGACCAACATCTATAACATAATCTCCTGAAGATGCTTGTCGACTTCGGCATCATGAAACTTAATCAACCTGGTTAAAGTTAAGACTGAAGACAGACTTTCAAACTGTGTGACAGTAAAAATCCACGCTTAGCTTCCAATAGCTAACGTAGCATAGCTCACATAAACTTTAGCTCCCGCTAACAGAAACATATGAGGAGGGCAGAGTATCAAATACCAGATATATAAAACGGAACCTGAAATCATGTATAATTACTCCATGTGTCATTATAATCGGAGGGCAAAGCCTGCAGGTTTAGCTCCTACTTACTTCAGAGGACAGACCACCGGGACGCTCCGTCTCTTCTGGGTTTTCCTGGCTATTTTTCCGGCCAGCGAACCATTCCGCCACCTAGTGGTCGCTTTTCAGACCACTTAGTCTCCTGTACCGCTCAAAAATGCACAATATGTCTATAAATAATTTTAGGATATTATAAGGAAGTGCTGATATATTCCGTTTTCCACAAACTAAAGTATTTGCCACTTCGGCACAGTGAGAAACGTCAGAGGATAAAAACACTAGACTCCGAGCAAAACTCAGATGTCCCAGCTTTTACTAGCATGTAAACGCATCATCTGCACACAAATCCCGGAAGCGTGAAATGAGTCTCAGAAATAGTTGTGCACTCGTAACCGGATCTGTGTGTAAATGCAGTTTTGTGTGTGTGTGTGTACCAGGTGATTTGTGTGTACTTTTTCAACATGTATAGGCGTAGGAGAAAGTTTATTTTATTTTTAAGGTTTACAAATCCAGTATTACACACGCACAGATATTTTTACACACGCACAAATATTTTGAGACTATTTTCACTCCATATTCAGGTGCAGAGCTAAATCTCTCAACAGCAATGATTCTGATTAATTCATAAATTTACTTTTTTATTGTATTTATTTATTTTGCCACGGTTGTATTTCTGAATCATTGTTTGCCAAAAGATGTAAATAAAATGGCTCTGGAGTCTTTTTTTTTGACGCATTACATCTTCCACAGCCATCCCATATATAAATATTGAGTTTTTGCCAGCAGGCTGAATTTTTGATGCATTTAAACATTGAAAATGTGTCATTTGGACCTGGGTAATGACCAGAATTGTAAATTAACCATTTGATATCGTTCAGTTTTATTTTGCCTCGGCATACATTTTCATTCTATAATTGAATTGGATTTGTGAGCGGCTGTTTTAATCACGGCACCATTAGGATAAATGTTCGGGGAACTTTCCGGTTCAGGAAACGTAACCAGTAAATGTAATAAATGTCAGTTTTCTGTGACTTCGCTTTAGTTCCCAGGGAACCGTTCCGGTCACGTGACCAGCTGGTCATGTGAGCCTCAGAGCGGAAGTTGGCTCAGCTGGATGATGGCGGCGGTGAACAACTGACTTTTCTAAGCCGTCGGCGGAAAGCTGTTCAATTTTACCTCTGATTCTACTTTTCTTCGAGCCTCTGGAGGAGTTTTAGCTGTAAGGTGATAAAATGACTTTTAATTAATTTTTCTGACTTTCAGTGGGAATATTTTAAACCGGCAGCAGGAGACGGAGAGAGAACCGTCCTGATTCATCCTCCCAGGTAAACACCGTCAGCAGGTTGGGGATGAGGTCTGGGGTTGGTTCATGTCTCCTTGCTTTTAGTTGATGTTTTTGGAGACGAATTAAAAAGAAAACGTGCTGAAATATTTCAACTCCGGTTTCAGTCAATAAAAGTAAATATTTAACTTTCTGTGAGGGAAAAATACTAAAATCTGTTTAAATTTTGATGAAGTTTGGTGCATCAGAAAACAGCAATCTTCAGTAGAAATTCTGCTAAATGTGGCGCTTTAAAATAAAATACACAGTGATTCTCTACAGAATCTTGCAGAACAAATATTTCCCCTTTAGTCCCAGACGAGGATCGTGTTCCTGCTGTGGACAGAGGACATCAGTCTTGTCAGCAAATATAGAAATCTGCATCTGGATTATTCCAGTTTCCAACAGTCAACATGTCAAAGTTTCTGGAGCAGATTTAAAGCCCTGATAGAAAATCAGAACCTTCCTGTCATCAGGGAGTTTGTGGAGGCTGGAACAGGCAGGATCTCCTCATTCGCTGATGATCTTGTGATATTGTCGCTTTGTTAGGCTTTTCTTCTGCTGCAACTCTTCACTCTCTGATGTTTTAGATATTCCAGCTTAGTTCCTCTTTCAGCAACAGATGAAGGTGAAACTGCTTCCTCCTCAGAGGTTCACTTTTCCATGTTGATTTCTGCCGTTACCGTCTGGACCGACACGTTGGCACCGTCTCCTGGTGTTTTGGGGGGAAAGCCTCTAAAATGCTGAACCTGATGTTGCTCATCTGACTGAATTGAAGGAAATTTTGCTTATTCTGGAAATGCAAACATCTGGAGGTGCATGCTTTGACTAGTCAGCTGATTTCCTCATGCGGTGACTCGTCGACTGTTTTAATCTGAGCTGCTGTCGGGTCAGAAAAGCCAGTAGAGGTCCGTCTTTAGCTCGTCTTCCTGAAACCGGCTTCGTGTTCACAGACGTCACATGACTGCTTACAGCATTTATAAGACTTTCTCTGCTGCAGGGGCAACGGATCCAGAGATCTGACGTTCAGCAGAACCGGTCCATGAAGGAGGTTCAGGACAGAACCGACTATTTTAACTCTTACTGTCCATTTCTTTATTTTTTCAGTTAAGACTTTCTAGAGGCAGATCTGGAGAATTAAAACATGTTAGGAACAGAAAAGCAGCAGATGGTGAGATGGGTTGTCTTCTCCTCAGCCGCAGCCATGTCTCTGGGTCAGCACTCGTCCGACTCGGCGCCGCTCTTCTCCTCCGACAGCGAGGCCGAGGCGCCGGAGGAGGCGGCCGGGCGGCGTGGGGGCAGCGAGGAGGCGGCCAGCGGCGTGTCGGGCGTCCGCGCGCGGCTCATCGTCTGCATCCTCTGCTACATCAACCTGCTCAACTACATGGACCGCTTCACCGTGGCAGGTAGGGGCCGCTCCAGACTCAGCAGAGACCCCTAAACCTGACCCCTGACCCTTTAGGCTGACGGCCAGAGATCAGGAACCAGTCTGGATTTTTTTCAGTTAACTTCATGTTGTTTTGGTTGAAGCAGGAAGAAGGTGGAGCTGCTGGTCATGGAACTAAATGTTTTAGATCCATTTAAGAGGATCTAAAACATTTAGATCCTCTAAAATGTTTTAGTCTAGAAGCTTTTAAACCAGAGAGGACAGGCATCAGCAAAGACCTGAGAGAAGCGTGAAGGGGTCAAAGGTCAAATCCAAACCATCTGAAGTCCAACAGACTCCAGAGAGGAAGATTATTCCCAGGAGGATAACATCTCAAAGGGCGGCCAACATTCCCAGCAGGGGTGGCCAATTCTGCCACATGCTAATTTGAGCTTAGCGCTTTTGCTAACTTTGAAAATATTTAGCGCACTTAGTTTTCACATCTGTGCTACAGTTTTCATTGTGCTCTTATTTTGAAGGGGATAAAGCCCATTTCCTCTTTCCAGTCTCTTTTTTCCCAGTCAGTGTATTTAAAACCAGAAACAGACGAGATCAAACTAAAACCCACAGCAGGACATAAACATACGGGCCTCATGGAGCCTGTGAATTATGTCAAAATGAAGGTGGTGTTGCTTTCAGATGTGATTAGAATTGACGTTAGCGCTGTAGCGTTAGCTTCCACCAAATGCTGTGTCGTTGTAGCATTAGCTTGGAGTGAGTCATCAACAGAACAATGATCCCGACCCACGGCCCGGTTCCTTCAGTCTGGACCGACTGCCGTTCGGCTCTGTGAGGTTCTGGATCCACCTGGATGCCTCCAGAAACCTCACAACCTTCAGGAGAGTTTAGTTTAGTCAGAGCTGCCCACCAGTTAAAGTTTCCTTAGTTTCATCTTTGGGAAGGAAATCTCACATTCTGGGGGTTTTTGAATTAATTCAACAAAATGAAAAATACAAGTTGAGGAAAACGTGGCGATGTGGGTCAGAAGCCATGAACTGGGCAGAGATCCAGCAGGCGGTAAAATTTGCTAGTGCAGGCATGGTGGGGCCCAATGCGGGGGCCCACAGAGGGCCCCATTATGGGGGCCTGTACTAACTAATCGGAGGCCCAGACGGTGACCCAGAGCAGAATGGAGAGGATGGATTGTAGGCGAATGAAATGGTTGTTCTGCCAATGTGACATTTGTGTTTTCATGCATTTTTTGCGTTTATATATCTGTCGGTTCTGATGTCGGTTCTGATGTCGGTTCTGGATGAACTGTCCTAGTTGCTGTGCTGCAGTTTTTTGTTTCCTGGACAAATTTCTCCTGCGGGAGACGACAAACGATCTGACCCTGACTCCTTCCTCCAGGAGTTCTTCCGGACATCGAGAACTACTTCCAGATCGACGATGGAAAGTCTGGCTTGTTGCAGACGGGTGAGACGGCTTTCCTGGTCCAGAACCAAATGGATCCTGGTCCGGTATGGGGTCGGGTTCTGGTCCAGATCCCTGGGTTCAGCCCAGGGTTGTGGACCCGGGTCGCTCCAGATAGCAGAAGGGGTCTGGTTCTGGATCGGCTCCATGGGCCTGCAACCGGTTCTTTCTTCAGTTTTTATCTGCAGCTACATGGTGCTGGCTCCTGTGTTTGGTTACCTTGGCGACAGGTACAACAGGAAGTACATCATGTGTGGCGGCATCGCCTTCTGGTCCGTGGTGACCCTGGCCAGCTCCTTCACCCCCCAGCAGGTGAGCGGCTCCAGAACCTGCTGGTCCCAGAACCGGCTCCGGTCTCTGACGGTGGTTTTTGCGGCTGCAGCATTTCTGGGCCCTGCTGCTGACCCGAGGCCTGGTCGGCGTCGGCGAGGCCAGCTACTCCACCATCGCCCCCACCATCATCGCAGACCTCTACGTGAAGGAGAAGAGGACCAGCATGCTCTCTGTCTTCTACTTCGCTATCCCTGTGGGCAGGTCAGTCGTCTGCAGCCTGACCTCTGACCTCTGAAAAATCAGCTTGCATAGAAAGTTGAGCTTCTTTAAGTCAGTAATTCCCGAGTCTTGATGTGGCCGATTGTTTGTCTTGCTTTAAGTGGAACTGGAACTTTTCATCATTATTTATCCATAAAAGCTGAAAGTTAATTTAGTTTCATTCGTTCTAGAAAAACTCTTGGAGGTTTCAGTGCTGCGATGATGAACTTCATCGGCTCTTATCAATGTCATCAAGTTATAAAAACCTCATCAGGGCAGAAAATTCACATGAGAACTGGTTTTATCTTCAGCACTGTGATTGGCCGGTCTTTTTGATGACATCACAGGGTCCTGGTCCAATCAGATGATTACTAGCAATAGATGATCAGAGTCTCTGAGGTCTGATATTTTGGAAGAATGATCTGGGTGTGTGGTCTTCCTGCTGCCAGCGGCCTGGGCTACATCGTGGGGTCACAGGTCAGCGCCGTGGCCCAGGACTGGCACTGGGCTCTGCGGGTGACGCCGGCGCTCGGCCTCATCGCCGTCCTGCTGCTGCTGTTCGTGGTCCGGGAGCCGAAGCGAGGCGCCGTGGAGGCGCGGGCCGAGCTGCACCAGACCAGCTGGCTGACCGACCTGCGGACGCTCAGCAGGAAGTAGGTGACCTCAGCCGGAGGAGCGCTCCGCCGCCCGCCTCGCCGCTGACCGCTCTGTTCTCTGTGCAGCCGCAGCTTCGTCCTGTCCACTCTGGGCTTCACGGCCGTGGCGTTCGTGACGGGCTCCCTGGCGCTCTGGGCGCCGACCTTCCTGTTCAGAGCCGCCGTGTTCTCCGGGCAGAAGGCGCCGTGCGCGGACGAGGCCCACTGCGCCTCCTCAGAGAGGTGGCTCCTCCCCCTCGCCGTCCGCCGCCTCCAGGCCCGCAGCAATCCTGACCCGTTTCCTCCTCCGCAGCCTGATCTTCGGCATCATCACCGTCATCACCGGCGTGCTGGGCGTGTTCAGCGGCGTCCAGGTGAGTCGACACCTGAGGAGGAAGACGCCCCGAGCCGACCCGTATGTGTGCGCCGCCGGCCTGCTGCTGTCGGCGCCGTTCCTCTACCTGGCCATCGTGTTCGCTCAGGGAAGCACCGCCGCCACATACGTGAGTTCAGGCCACACATGGGGGGCCCGGTTCTGGTCCCGGTTCTGGTCCCGGTCAGTTTGGTTGTTTCAATGGATTTAATGAATGTTTCAGTCAGTAATTGATTATCAGCGTCGGTCAAAATCTGATCCTTGGCGTTTCAGACATCATAACCTCCTCTTCCTCCTTTCCTCTTTCTCCTCTTCCTCCCCTCCTCCCCCTTCCTTCCTCTTCCTCCTTTCCTCCCCCTCCCTTCCTCCCCTCCTCTTTCTCCCCCTCTTCTCCTCTTCCTCCTCCTCCCCTCCTCTTCCTCCTTTTCTCTTCCTCCTTTCCTCTTCCTCCTCCCCCCCCCCTCCCCTTCCCCCCCCCCCCCCCCCCCTCCTCCCCTCCCCTTCCCCCCCTCCCCCCCCCC